TATATATATATACACATGTGTGTGTTCTATATATATATATATTTATTTGTGCAACCATATAGACATCCCCCTCCCTCTCTCTCTCTCTCTGTTTTTTTCGCTCTCTCTCTCTCTCTCTCAGCGAACTGCAGTTTGACAAGCTGAGAGCTGGAGGGCTTTGGTTTTGCTGAGTAAGGCCTGTTGTTGACAGGCCGCCAGCGCCGATGATTGGCGGGATGCCAAGGAGCTGGAACGCATCTCGATGCCGCCCGGCTACGAGGAGGCAACTATGAGTCCGAACAAGAAATATAGAGAGACATGTCGATACTGTCTTTGTTCGACGGAGGGTCGGCTCTTCGCCTTCGAGCAGAGCCGGATTCAATACAGGACCGAGCCAAGCCGCGGATGCCACACTTGCTAGCAGCTGCTAGCAGCTAGCTGCGGCTAGCAGCAGCAGCTCAGCAGCAGGATGGTGCTGTTAGCGGGGCCTAAAGCTGACGGCCTTTACGCCCGAAGCTGAGCACAAGAGCGCGGGAAGCGCGCGCGAAGCGCGCGCCTTAGCGGGGCCTCGCGGCTGCGCAGCGCAGGTGGCGAACTTGCAGTCCGCGGCCTCGGATCCCATCTGCACCTTCCTGGATCCGCCCCTGCACCTCCGTCGCTCAGCTTTCCAAAGAAACGCCTCGGCTCTTTGGCGCTCTCTCTCTTTTCGGCTGGCGCGGCGATCGCTCTGTGCTCAGGAGCGGAGCTGCGCTGCGACTCCGACGTGGTGCCCGTGCGGGCCCGAGCGGTTGGGGAGAGCGGAGCGGAGGCCGCCAGGCTCTGCTCGCAGGCGCTCTGTGCGTCTGGCTGCTGCTGCTAGCTGCGCGCTGAGTCGCTGAGGCGGTGGTGACGTTGAGTTGGAGGCTCCCGAACATGGAGTGGTCGGGGACTCGCTTTTCAAAAGCCCAGTTTTGTGTTTCAGCTGAGAGTCTCTTGGAGGCTTCGGCCGGTGCAGGCGCAGGGTCCGCAGGCCCCATGGCACCCGCTTTTGCAGTGCGCTAAACAAAGAAAAGCACTTCCCAAGAGCTGAGGGCTCGGACATGACGTGCGGGAGCCCAGAAAAGAGATGCTTGCAGTCTCGTGTCTACCTACGGGCGTCACCTGCGCATTCCTGTTTCCCTCTCTAGGATCACGATCCTTTCGGCAAAACGGCCACCAAGAAGCAGTTGTCGGTGCGACAGCCTATTTGTCGTAAGAACGGCGATTTTTGAGCTCTTCAATCCAAATCCAGCACCATCAATGCGCCGGCAGCACTCCTTCTTTTGCCGACTGCAGCTTTTTGCCTTGGTCACTTCAGCTTCTGCCGGTGTCAGCGCCACCGACCAGGGTCTATGCACACAGCCGCTGCAATTCGCATTGTGTGCCTGAGCTACATGCTTAGTATTAGTCCCAACAGCACATGGTTGCGTGTGAGAGTTGTGAAGTGTTTCGGTTGCAGCGCCCAGAGAACAGCTAGAACTTGTTAGCTACACGGTCTCTACGAGGTTTGTACTGTCGCACTGGCTTTAATTGGATGACCCTCTTTGATGCGTCGCGTCCGGTGGCTTATTAACTTTTCGGCGTTGGTATTTTTGACTGTGCTCGGTAATGCGTTTGTTTTTGGCCCGGCGGCATTTTGTGGTTTGCTTTGTCAATTCTGCTGATGGTCACCCGAAGGAGAAGAGGCCCGAGGCTTGCTTTCCACGGCACCTCCGGAATCGTAAACCGCCAATCCTCAAACCCTATGCCCTAAATCAAGAGATTCACAATGCATGCTGCCTCGAAGTCGGTGCCTCCAACTTGTGATGGTGCTCGCTCGCCCTCTTTGTCTTTCGCCCCATCACACCATGTTTACCGACTCTGCACACAGGATTGCAGAGGATTGCATAGGCGGTACCTCGCTTGACGTGTCTAGTGTGCACAAGATGTGCCGAGGATTGCCGAGGTTATTCAAACATCACCATTCGACTTTTGATAAACCTTGTGGTTTCCGAATGCGGTCGGGAGGTCAAATCACACCTCGGATGGGGGATCACGGTAATGAAATGCT